CTCTATATGAAGCATAAAGACTGTATTAGAGCCACAGAAAGAGCACAATACATAATTCATAGCCTAGGGTGAAGTCATTACGTACATTAACAATGATTTGGGACAAATATAATGTAATTTAATGGAAAACTATGTGAATGGCGCTCTGTTCCGCGGCAGGATTTTCTTTTGAGTTTGAAGTTTCCCGCTCTGTGCAGCGCGCAGTGTCACGTGTCAAAACAAACAACACGTGCTGTTAAGTGATTTCCGCCTCTAGAGGCCGCTCTCGTACTGTATAATGGCAGCGGACCCTTCTCAGCCACTCCAGCAACGGACGCAACCCGGAAAACTATCGGCATTGATTTTTGCTGATAACCGATAGTTCCGCCAATCAACTATCGGTGCCGATTAATCGGCAAAACCGATGAATCGGTCGACCTCTAGTAAATATATACATGCACAAGAGTATATTATATGCCATGGTGTGTGTGATACATACTCATCTCCAAACAGCTGATGACTGTACTCGGGGTGAAATGTTGTGCTTTCATCATCTATATCCTCTGGAAACCGCACTACATCAGACAAAAGACTGAATTTATATAATATGAAGGTGGGCATTACATATCAGTAAGGAGTCAAATCAAATAGGAGTTTGTTCAAAGAGTGCATAAATAGCTGTTTAGCTATTGGTCAACATTAACTATTCACAACCGATGTGACGTCGCCAGAAAACAAAAGCAATTTCAGATGACGAACACGTTAGCTTTTGATGAAAGACTACAAGGTCAAATTTTTTATTTGGAATGACATGCATTGATGAATCGTGCATAACTAAGTCCGGAAATGTGCAATCAATCAATAAAAAATAGGGTTAATTTCATGTTGAATTATATTAATCTGCAGGACAAATGCATTCTAAATAAAATAAAAAAAAGATACTACAGATGATTTTTATAAAATGTATAGTACTAAATGATAACTTCAGAATGTTCAGATTCAGTCTACTGCTTTATTAACCATTTTTAATTTCTAGTGATGATTAATGATTTACCTAGTTTCAGACATACAGCTTCGTTAGTGTCGCATTTATACTCTGCCAGTTTCTTCTCCATGTCATTCACAGCTGTGGGAAAGACACAGAGAAACATGTCAATCATAACAGCACAAGTAAAATGTCCAAACTATCATTTCTGTCATCAGCTACACAATGAAAATAATACAGTACGATACAATACAATATGCGCATAGAGTGGGGTTTAAATGTCACTGCATTAAATAACATAACTCATATTGACCATGTGAACTTCTTTGTACAGAAAATCAGATTTTCTAGCATTGCTCTTTGGACCATCTCAAATCATACGGGAAAACATGATCATCAGGTTTTGTCCATGTCAGCTTGAGTGCTTTAAACTACTGACTTGTTAAATTGCTTAAAAAATAAATGCTATAAGATGCTAAATAGAAGAATCTGCATTACTGGTCTTATGCTTTAAACTCAAGTGTATCCATGTATATAACGTTAACCATTTAATCACAAGTAACGTTATTTCCATCTTTCTACACATATGTATCTTTACTTCTATTGATCCTATAGATATACTCTGATCTCAGATAGACAAGCATGAACGCATCTAATGCTCGCTACACTGCACACAGCTGCAACCCGTCTGATCATCCTGATGTGCGATGTTTTATCTGTGTGGTATCTCGAGTGTGGTAGAAAATCTGACATAAAAGACGAACAGACAGCCGTGTAAACAACACACGTGTGCTGTTCATCTCTGTGATGATTAGCATTTAGCCGCAGCTAAAGCTCTGTTTCTCAGACATCAGCGCGCAGCTCCACCGCTCGAGCTCATAACAGCTCATAAACACACGCGCTTAATAACAGCAGCACAAACAAAACACAGACGGTTTTCACACTCACCCGCCATTTTTGGACGTCTTCTCTTCTCAACCCGCCAAATGCCGAAACCACTTCCTGTTTACCCACGTGCTTCCGCTCGCTGTCGCCATTGGAGGAAATCTCAGGACGTTTGTTTCGTAGCTCCGCTGCTCTCTGAACGTTACCTTGAAAATACAGCAGCTACATGTTTCTAAAATGTGTAAAAACAAACAGACTTAATGTAAGGATAAGGAATAGCCTACATATGTAAGGAATATGTCCCTTTAGTTTTAAATACAGGTAATGCCATCTCAAATAAATTGCATCAAGTTTCAAAATGAAGGATCACATGATCATAAAGGCGAAACTACGTCCTTAAAGTGCCATGTAAATTAATTAAAAAGTAAAATTAAGCCTGTTTTTGGGATTGTAACCCCTGCTGAAAAAAAATCAAAAACCAGCCTAAGCTGTGATGATGATTATTATTATTATTTAAATCAGCGTAAATTAAAGGCATTGCAGAAATACTACCATAATCAATAAATAAATACTTTATCATTTTAATAATATATCAATATTTGTTGTTTTCGTAATGAGAAATAGGGTTAAATTAAATTAAAATGCTATAATGAATATTAATTATAAATCTTAACAATCCTTTAAAAGTAGGTTTCATTTTTTCCCCCCCAGTATGGTGAATGTAATACTGAATATGTTTATTAATAAGCACACAATAAGCACATGCGGTCTTGGAAATAAATTGCCGTAGCAGTGTAAGCTTTTATGTCAGATTATCTTGCAGAAGTATTAGTTAAACAAATGTGAGTGATTTTTGATTATGAAATTGGAAGATAATCTCAGAAGAAAAACTTTCAGAAAAGTAGCAAGAAGCCACCATCATCAGGCATTTATGAAAACAGACAAGCACAAGCAAATACAATAAATAACCATATAATCTGACCAAATGTGCACTAGACGATCATAAAATACCTCTACGAGAGAGAGAGAGAGAGAGAGAGAGAGAGAGGATGGAGCTGTATTTAGACCTAAAAAGAGACTACAAACCAGCAGAATACCTGAGCTGTGTAAAAGATCACAAATTAAGAAAGACACTGACAAAATACAGACTTGAGTGATCACTGTCTGGCTATAGAGAGAGGACGACACAGACAGAGATGGCAGCCGCGAGAACAGAGACTGTGTTCACTGTGCTCACAGAAAGAGCTGGAAACAGAGGAACATTTCTTACTGCACTGTGATTACTATCACAACATTAGAGCTGCATATTTCCCCAAATTCCAACAAATTAAACCACATTTTATGGCATTACCAAATACATAAAAATTGTCACATTTTAGGGGAAGATTCCAAAATGATCCCAACAGCAGCAAGATATGTATCAGCCTGTCACAAACTAAGACTGTCAGCCAGTGGACAAAACTGAAGCAAAAGCATTTCTTACATGTACTGTTGTGCAATTTATTTATTTATTTTTTTTAATGTCTTTAATATTTTTCTTGTTTTTTTTTTGTTTGTGTACACATGTACTTATTTACCTAATTATTTTACAGATCTTTTCTTGTTTTGTTTATGTATTATATAATCGTTTATTCTTTATTCATGTAATGGACAATGCTTTGGCAATACTGTGCAAGTCATGCCAATAAAGCTCATTTGAATTTGAATTTGAATTTGAGAGAGAGACAGAGAGATATAGAGAGAGAGACAGAGAGACAGAGAGAGAGAGAGAGAGACAGAGAGCGAGAGATATAGAGAGAGAGACAGAGAGAGAGAGATATAGAGAGAGAGACAGAGAGACAGAGAGAGAGAGAGAGAGAGATGGGATGTGTGCGTAAAGCGTGCGTTGATATTCCAAGCCTCCGGCACTTAGCTGCTGATACACCCAGATTTAAGTACATGTTAATGTGTTTGCAAATCCTAGTATTTGTCATCTATTGCATTTGAGTTCAGCACTTTCTTGAATCCATGTATAATTCAAAAATACCGAGACAACTGATTTATAATAGTGACATAGGAAAATTAATTAAACCTTATATATATATATATATACAATTTAGTTTGACAAACCTAATTTAAACATACATTAATTTGAACTAATTCAACTAAAGTGTGTTGACCCATGACTTAATTTGAATTAAATAAATTAAACTTTGCATAAAAACATTTCTGAATAAAATTAAGTCCAGATAATAATTTCATTTTTTGACTGCTCTATGCTTAAATCTACACTAACTAATCTCAGTCTAAGTCTGACACACACACACACACACACACACACACACACACACACACACGACACACACACACACACACACAGTCTGACACACACACATACACAGTCTGACACACACACAGACACAGTCTGACACACACACACACACACAGTCTGACACACTCACACACACACACATACAATATATATATAACACAAAGATATTTACAGTATTGTTTTTTCTGCATATCAATACTAAAAAAAGGGTAATGGCAAGGACTCCAAAATGATTAAATATATTATTGCAACCTGTTTTTCTGTATAAATGAACAAATAAATGCAATACCTGAATCTGAATACTCTGTTGGTCTACACGAGGCCCTTTAAACTCTGACATTTCCTTGTGTCTTCTGGTGTCTCTAGAAGGCTAATGACAGCATGAATTACACATATGTACGCTACAGTATCAGTATTTGACACTGATTACTAAGCCTAGTATGTGTGTTATTATGTGCTTTAAAAGGTTAAAGTGTGCTTTGCATTATGATATCATTGTCTCTGAAGAAAATAACTGTAAAGTAAGTATTGTTGAATTTAGCAGCAGCCATTGAGCGCACTCGTCACTGTTCATTGCTCTCAACAGTGAGCTGTTCAATTTAACCCAGTTTTATTTTAAAAGCCTCTCTCTCAACACACATCACTGCATAGTTAACCTCGCCCGGAAATGATCAAATCTATAATTGATGGAGTTATGATTTTAATACCCCCAGTTGTCACATGAAATGATTAAGTAGCTCTTTGAAATGAAGACTGCTTTAATGTGTAAAGGAACCACTGCTAGCAAGAGCTGAATTTCACCACGGCGCTGACTACGTGCTTGGTTTAGCGATGAAGTACTTCAGGCTTATCAAGCTGAACTTGTGCTTAATTACGTGAAGTGTATAACGAAGCTGTTAAATGAATTAACGGTTTCTCTGGAGGCTTTAGGTGTGACTGGAGATATGTGTGTGATGGACACACGTCACCGCTTGTGTCACTTCCATCTAAATGATGGTTAAAGTCTTTCTCATACTTTGAAAATATAAAGATGAAAACAATGTGAGAGCTACACACAGCAGCCCCTGGTGCTCTCTATTGAACATTTCATTGAACATTTCCACTGTTTTGAACACGCTATTGAACATTTTCACTTCATATGGGGCAAGTTGTCACAATGGGATCTTTTTGTTTAACCCTCATAATGCATTCAAAATCTGTATATGATTTTTACATTCACGGTCCATTTGGACTTGAAGAATCATTGTTTTATAAAACTTTTCTTAACTAACTAAATCCATATTGTATCTGATCTGCAACTTCTAATTAATGAGTGAATGTAAAAAAAATAACTCAAAAATTTTGAATGTTATTACCTTGTTATTACTGCATTTACCCCTTTTTGAATTTTTTTTTAAAAATTGAGAAATTCTTTGAAATTTAAAATGACATGAACCACACCAAAAAGAAATGATGCAAAATAAATAGGCTATATATTTTTTTCAATATTGATGAGAAATCTTGTTTGAATATATCATTGTATGAATTTTAGAAGATAGATATATTCTGAGAATTACCAGTATTACTCCTGTTGGAATTAAATTTTTAACTCATGACTGCTCAAAAAAGGTCAAAATTGATGAAACATCAATATTATCAACTACATATTTATTTCTAATAAAATAACTTCAAAACAGCATTAACAAGTAAATTAATTTTACTTGCATAGACTTTCACTCTTAGTCTTACATGAAAAATATGATCAATTTTTCAGGCTGCAAAGGTTCGTCAGAAGGTGCACATGTTCATGTTTATTCACAAAATTCAGTCCCAAAAGTGTGTGAGCAGCCTGGTCTCATTGTTTATGCGTAGGTATTAGTACGTAATGTTTACAAGCACAAAACAAACATTTTTGTTCATTTTGATTGATGCTGAAACGTACAGTTTGGACGTATTACAATGTTCAAAACGTAAAATTGCTATGTATTCACAGCTAAAAAACTTTAAATATGAACGAATCTTTTATATCATTAAGATATTTGTATCAATGCATTTGTATCATTTTATCGGTATGCGATTTCGTTTTTGAGACCATTTAACCTATACCCCCAAAACTAAAACTATCCATTTTATAGCGAATATAAAAAGATATAAAACGTAATTGACCTAAATATGCAGGGAAATTACCATTTTAGTAACAATATAGCATTAAAAAAGATATTTTTATAGTCGTAATGTAATTTTATGTTTCTGTTGTCAGTCACAGCATGGGAGAAAACACCTTTTGTGTCCCACAGCAAACAACGTAAATATTACATGATAAGTAATGGTTAAACGATTGCAGAAATGTTGTTCATTTTAAGGGTTTAAACATTTTTTTTACACTAAGATAACAAGGATAATTGAACAAAAGTATTGTTGACATCTAATGGTAGGCTGGGTCTAAAATGACCTGAACACCATCATTTATATGGTTATAATAAATGGTCAGATGTGTATTTGGAGGGTCTTAAAACATTTGCAAAGTTTCGTTTCCTTGCTAAAAACTATGCACTTTTTAGAAATTTTTATGTATCTCTTCCGGGTCTGTGTTACGAGGATTTGAAAAGAACACCTTTGTTTGAAATATTAAATACTAAAGTAAGAAATTTGCGAAACAAAATCTAGCAAATAAATATTATTGCATGTTGAAATTATAATCCATGAATGAAAATGACAACATAAAACAGCAAATGAGGAAGAGCATGTAATGACATCTGATGAGGTGTCATTGTGACAACTTGCCCCATCCTGATGTTTAGAAAAACTTCTGAAAAAACTGTTATTGTACACTGTAAAAAATGACAGTGAATTTAACGGTAAAAG